TCTTCTGTCTCAGCTGGGCTCGTTGGCATGTCTAAGAGCCGGCTGGGGCTTCGCTGATAGAGGTTGATCTTGGCAGCGCAGTTCTGCTTCAAGAAGCAGGTCTGACTGCTGTTGGCCCCTTGCCGATGTAGGCTGGGCTCAGGTTGCTTCAAGTGTGTTCTATTGGGGAATTAAGGATAAAGGAGCAGCAGCTACTCAGGGAAGTCTTTCTCGTAGCAATAGGAGAGGTACAAGAGAAGAAATGCAACTCCAGAAAAATATCTGAAGCCTCTCCTGTGTCATATTTGGCAAGGTAAGTTACAGCAGCAAGCCCAAAGTTGAGGGGTGGCTGGAGGGGTGGCGGGAGGAATTTATTCTGCCACCAGGAGATGTGAAAAGGAAGGGAGTGAATTTTTTCACCATCATCTCATCTACTGTGTTCAGTCCTCTTTCCATGAGTATTCACCTCCCTCTCACCAGAAAAACCCACTGACCCCATTCCATGATTGCCAAAAGTCATCCAATTACAGTATCTGCTTAAAATTTCAGGATTTCATGATCTACATGTCTTCAAATATTTGCTTTTGAAATGACAACCCAAACAAACAAGTTATCTAGACTGACCCCGTGGCATAGTGGTTAAGTTCAGCACTGTCTACCTCAGCGGCCCAGGTTCATGGATTCGGATCCTGGGCACAGACCTACACCTCTCATTAGGCATGCTGAGGCAGAGACCCACATATAAAATAGAGGAAGACTGGCACAGATGTTAGCTCAGGGCCAGTCTTCCTCAAGCAAAAAAAGAGGAAGATTGGCAACAAGATATTAGCTCAAGGCGAATCTTCCTCATCAAAAAAAGTTGTCTGTCTCCCCAAATACCCACCATATGATGCTGAAATAGGGAAAAGGTAATAGTAGCAAAGACTTTTTTTGAAGAAGGAGAGACTGCGAGGCCCATAGCAGTTGCTGTTTTATAGCATGTCCAAAATCTCGTGGACGACATGTTATCAGCTCTCTCTACCCTGGATTTAGGAACGTACCTTGGTTCTCCAGAGTCCATTGTTTTTCTTTCTGGAAGTTTCTTTAATTGTCCTGCTTGGTTATGTCTGAAGTGATTTCTGAATATTATTTCCCTTTTGGCAATTGAGCTGCTTTCTCAACCTGCTTTTTGGTTATGTCGAAATTTGGCTCCCAGAAGTCTCTTATCTTACTCTCGTTCTCTTTTTATTCCAGACTGGCAGCACTTTTGCCAATAAAGTTCTCTCAAAACCTTTAAATTTCCCAGGCTTTTTATTTTAGTTAGTTCAAAAGCCACAGGGTAACTCTTTTATAGACACGTCTCTCCATGTCTACTCAATTATGGGTATTATGGTACATTAGGCTTTGGTGGAACCATGCTTTTAATCCTTCTGTAAGGACTTTTTACCAGATAAGACATTCTAAGAGGAGTCCCTGCAGTTCTTTAAAAGGTCTAAACAAAGGCAGGATGGCCTGCCAATGGTTTGGTCTATGTCCACTTGGCATATCTTAATGCTCTTAATATTTCCCTAGGCTATTGTGAACTTGAGAATCTCCTCCTGTATGGATATTTTGGTGTAATGAGTTGCACTGTGTCCTAAAAAATGATATGTTTAAGTCACAGCCTCCAGTACTTCAGAATGTGATCTGATTTGGAAATAGGTCTTACAGAGGTAATTAAGTTGAAATGAGGTCATTAAGGTAGTCCCTAATCCAATATGACTGCAGTCCTTATAAAAAGGTGACATTTGACACAGACAGACATGCACAGAGAGAAGACTGTGAGAAGAGACAGAGAGAACACGATGTAAAGATTGGACTTAGGCTGCCCCAAGTCAGCGAGTGACTGGGGCCACCAGAGGCTGGAAGAGACAACAAAGGGTCCCTCTCCTAGGGGTTTCAGAGGGAGCATGGCTCAACTGACACCTGGATTTCACACCTCTAGCCGCCAGCACTGTGAGCCAACAAACTTCTGCTATTGTAAGTCACCTAGTTTGTGGGATTTCATTACAGCAGCCCTGGAAAGCTGATACAATTGGACAGATGACAGGATTTTACTTTCTACCTCCCGAGGTCTGAGTTCTTCATATTTTCTCCAAATGCTGTTTTTTTAACACTGGCCAACTTCTTTTTCTTGGCTCATCTTTATTGTATGTAGTACCTTATCAAGTGCAGTGTTTTATTTAACAAAAAAAAAGAAAAGGAAATTCACACAATAATGTGATCATGGTACTCAAAATCCCTGGTCTCCAACATTAGTGGGGTCCTCAAAACTAAACAGAATATTGTATAATCCCTTAAAATTTGTCCTTTTTCATTATTTTAAGCGTAATTCTACCACCATAAACTATGACCAAAATACTTAAGCCCTGTAGTCTAACACTGCTTGTTAATTTTGGATGCAATCTATTATTTGTTAGTATACTAATTAAGAATACAGGCTCTGGAACAAAACTCTACCACTTACTAAATATAAGGTTATGTGCTAGTTACTCAGTTTTCTATGTTTTAATTTCCTCATTTGTAAAACAAAGATAATGATTTTATCTTTCTCATGGGATGATTGTGAGCTTAAATGAACACTGATCTCATTAGGCGTTCAGTAACTGTGAATGGTTATGATTAGTTATTAATCGTAGCATATGATTTTACCTCCAACTTCCAGACCTGAATAGAAGACTCTAACCATGAAGTTACTTAAAAAGTGTATATAAGCGATTCCATCCTCCCCTCCTTCCTTCCAACACAGGAAGTTTCACTGTATTTTCTATTTGAACCCTTTGAGTTTAAACATATTTCTCCTTAACTTTTAAGATCATTTTTCTACACCAAGTTGCTGGAAAGGATTGTCTCCTCTTGTTATTTTCATTTCCTTCTTTCTCTTTTCTACTCAGCCTAACCCAGTGTGGCTTCTTCCCCACCTCCACCTTCCAAATGTGCCTTACACTGCATTTGATTCTCTGAGGCTAATTTCGAAATCCAACTGACTTCTTCCTCCTCAACTTTAATTATTTGCTCTGTTATATTTTACAGTGTTTTACATTTCACTCTTAAAACTGTGAAGGGGCAAGAGAACACCACCAGTTAGAGGTTGAGGGCTGAGGAGAGACTCAGTAAGTCAGTGAAAGGAACCTGATCTGCATTATACAAGAGGCCAATACTGAGGCCCCGTGCAGATTTCCTAGAAAAACAAACAAACCAAAGCCATGTGTCCACAAGACAGTCAGCATTTTGACTTATTTCACTAAGAGGCACTTTGATAGAATTAGAACAGCATTTCTCTTCCTACCACCAATAGATTCTCAGCTCCAATACTAGCGCAAAGCGCCAAGGGGGCACCCCATATGGACTTTCCCTCCAACGATAGATCTTTTTCCTTTAAATATTTAGTCTTTACTGAATATAAAAAGAGGAGAGCTTTCAAACTGGCGTGATTAATTTCTCAATTCTCCTTTCTAATTTAGAGCTCACAATATTGTTTATTTTCTGCTTTTCTATTACAAATCCTATTGTACTTGCACCTTAACTTTTGGCTCTGTCTGGTTGTCAGAATAGAATTTCTCCTTTCTTTGCTACTCCATCAGCTTCTTGTTTTCATTGCCCTTTTTTTCCCTGCAAATGATCAATACCATGTAGGCTTCACACTCTAGCAACCTATCTTCTTTCAGAATTTGCCATTTAAAGAATGTATGAGGGTCCTAGGTTAGCCAAGCAACATCTTCCTCCTCTTCCTCAACATCGGAAAGCATTTTACCTGTTCCTATCATGGTGGTCTTTTGTACCATGGAAGATGAGGCACAACAGAAGAGACCCTAACATTTATGTTGCACAATGAACTTGTTTCCATTGCTGAACTCGAATCATTCCAGAATTTAAAGGAAAAAAGAAATTGGCCTTCTTTATGTTTGGACATGAAAAAATCAATTATACATTTCCTGTGTGTTTCATGGACACAATATATAGTCCCTATTTCTGTATATATTTAGCTCAGATATAGCTAATAAACAAGTAAAAAGCTTCTGTTTCAGAGCAAAACAAGTGATGCCACTTAAATCCAGTGAGCTAAAGTTATTACTCGTTTTATATTTAGTAAGAAGGATGCTATTTTAGGGATAACAATGATATTTTAATGATAAATCCTGTCATTTTCTGGTTTAAATGCTGCCTTTCATCTTATAAGTTTTAATCTTGAATATGTAGGGCTTTATTTTCAAATAAATATATATTATATATCTAATTTTTACATACATATAATTTCATATGCATATTATAAACATAATGTCAATAACAAAATCTTCATATTTCCAATTCATTCTGTAAACAAATTCTGTGTCAAGAAAAAGGAGGGATATATTTAAAAAGCACTCTTAAGTTTGTAACATTGCATCTGATGATCTCACTGTTTTCTGGAGTTAAGTGTTTTTAAATTTCATGCACACTTGACAAAGTCTAATTCCATCACTATATAGAGACAGCTCTCAATTGTGTTATAAAGAACGATTATCTTTTTCTTGAATGAAAGCCAGCACTAATTGAGGCAAAGTTTCCTGTTCCTCAAATTCTGACCTTTCCTCATGGAAGACCAATAATTCTACCAAAAGTATGAGAATTGTGTGAAACAAGCAACTCTGAAAGTTTATTGTCATAGAGTTTTTAGTTACATTTTTTCATTTTCTGATTTCTAAAGCAATAATTTCTCTTGATCTTTTCTTAATTTTACTTCATTTATTAATCATCTGCCTGCGATATTGAGCGCCTCCTTTTTCCATACCCACGTCTAGCCATAGCTCCCTTGGCATGCTCCAGAACTGTCGGGGGGGCGACTTCCTTTCACTCCTCCCGATTTGCTCCAGCTTCTTGATCTTGAGCAGTTCCCTTTCTTGCTTTTCATCTTTTATTTTCCTGAAATAGATCCCATAGATGTTTCATAAAAAATGTGAACAAAAATAACCTTTCTGTGTTCTTGCATGTCTGAAAATGTTTTCTTCTGTTCTAACACACAGTTTGAAGTTTGGCTGAGTACAAAATTTCTCAAGTGAACATTATTTTCCCGCATCCCTTTCAAGGCAACCACTGTTGTTGTATTCAGAATTACTAAGAGGAAATCTGGGGAGAGTGCGATTACAGGTCCTTGTAAGTGAACTGCTTTTTCTTTTGCTTTTTTTCTCTCACTTTTGTAAGCATTTAGAATCCATTTGTCTTTGGAATTCTGATATTTCCCAAGGGCAAGTCTAGTTATAGTCTCTTTATTTTATCCTACTTGCCATTTGATAAGCAGTTTAAGTTTGAATTCCATGTCTTATTTAATCATTAGGGGAATCTTTTTCTTAAAATTTCTCCAATGATTTCTTTTTCCTCTCCCCTCTCTCATCTCTCTGGAGATGAATTTGCAAGCATGTTACTACATCTGGAATTTCCCATCACTAATAGTATTTATTTTGTTGTCTTCATCTATTTCTACTTTTGTACTACATATTGGGAGTATTTACAGATATGATCTTTATGCCAAAAAATCCTCTATTTGTTTAGGGTATTTGTGTTAGTCAACTACGTATTGGGGATATTACTCTTGTAATTAATACTTCTTCTCCTAAATAAATTAGTTATGATAGATTAATTGTAACAAACAAGCACCATATTTCAGTGACTAAATACAGGAACAGTTTATTGCTTTGTCATAGCATTGCCCACTGCAAATCAGTTGAGGGTCCCCTGTTTCACAAAGACACAGGCCCTTCCTGTTAGTGGTTCAGCCATTCTTTAGAGTCCTAGAGACTCCACTGGGCCGTATGCATCTGTTTGACAACAACAAAAGATAAGGAACATGGAGAATCTCAAAATAGGTTTTAGAGGCCAGCTGGAAATGTTGGAGCTATAGGAGAAGAAATGAAGTATCTGATTAGGAAAAGCCTTCTGTGCTACACTAAGAAATTTGGATTTCTCCAGAAGGCAATGAGCTTCTGAACTGTGTTAAGGTTTTTAGCTGCACTGTCAGCTGGGTGATTTAGAAACATTGCCCTGGCTGCTCTGTAAATTATAGATCTCACTTGAGCAAAGACAACTCTTAGGAGAGGTTGTCAAAAACCAGGTGATAAATCATTTTGGACCATAAGCATGAACATGGGTAAGAAGAGAAGTGAGAAGACTAAAAGGATGGTATTCAGTAAACAACAGGGCCTGGTGGTGATTGGGGGTTAGTTCTGAGGAAGAATAAGAAGTCAAATAATACATGCAAGTTTCTAATTTTCACAATGGGGTGGATCGTATTTACTAAGGTTGGGGATTTTGCAAGAGAAGTACATTAGAAGAAGAATCTGAGTGTTTGGGGGGTTAAATGGAGATGCTCAGTAACTATTTGGGTTTATGGTTTTATAGCTCAAGAGAGACATAAAGACAGAAATAGAGACTAGTAGATATCAGTTTATTGACCCTAACAACGATAAAAACATGCACGGTAGTCAAAGAGAGTACGTATGTCATTATAGTCACTGTACTTAGAGAATTTAAGTCATTAAATGTTCTTCTTTTCATGAAATATTATGTTAGATGATGGGAATGATGTTTAAGGTGGGAGATTTTGAACATTTTTAAATACTGATGAAGAGCTAGTAAAAAGGAAAATTGTTATTCAAATAAACTAGTTGTTATTTAGAGAGTGAGAGCAGATAGAACTCAAGCAAGAGTAAAGGAATTAGTCTTTGGCAACAAAAAGGAAGATTTCTTCATAGTCATGAGAGGAGAAGGCATGTTTTCATTAAAACCAATAAAGTTTTGAGAATTAATGCAGATCTTATCTCATGGCTGATATTTTCTCTGTAAAGTTGAACGGAGAGTAGTGGAAAAGGATGCTTGACAACAGGGAGATTTTAAAAGAGCTACTATGCAGATAGAGGAGAATTTGTTGGGAAAGATACGCAGGGGATTCAATATTTATTTGTGCAAATAATAAATTAATAGTGCAAAACAGCATTCCAATAATGAGGCTGTGGTATAAAAGAGGAATAGGTCCACCCTAAGCAGTCAATCGAAAAAGACTTAGTATTATGTGTAGCGTTTGTGAGAAGCCTTAAGGAAGAGCAAGGTTTCAATATGGAAAACATAGGGGAGGTGCAAATGAGCAAAGACAGACAAAAATAGACAGGTAGGCTTATTACCAAGGTGACTCGTAGATCTATGTGTTGTTAATTTAGGGGCTGGAAGAGGAATGTAAGCTGCCGATTATTTTGTGGCTAGAACATCTATAGATTAAATGTTCTGCTGAAGAGTCTTGATTTTATTCTGCCAGTGCTGATGTTCCAAAGGAACGAAGTTGATTTGGGTGGCGGATGGGGGTGGGGGTCGGGGGGGGGGGGCAGGAAGAAAGAAGGAAACATATTTGAAATGTATTAGAAATGACTTTGGTACTTTCTCTTTTTTTAAAAAAGAGACATCTTCCTGGAATTTGCTCATACATCCTCATAAAAACTCTTATTAATTCTAACATAACTATGATCACCAGGGGAGAAGAAAAACAAAAACACCACTGATATAGTTCCAGAGTCTTAGAAGAATTTTCGCTAACTGCATGCTAATTGTACTGGGTTAAGTTAAGAAGTGCCATCGACAGATCACACATTCACAGCTGTCCTGAGCCCAGCTCATTTGCAGGGAGATTTCTTTTGCCTTCATATACTGCCTAAAAAATGATATCAGAAACCCAGACCCAACCAAGACTTTCTATTCTATGGATGTGGCCTCTCTGGGGCAAGTGGGTTGATAGCGCCCTCTGTTCTTTCTCCTAACAGTGCCCTTTCCTCTACAACCACTGATGAATGAGAAATCTTGGAAAAGAAGCAAACTGGAAGTCAGGAGGGACATGTCAAGGGAGTTGTGTATTCCATTTTTAAAAATAAAGAATCTACAATTCAAAGATTGTGCCAAATCAGAGAAGAAAAGGAAAATTGGTAAGAGTAAATAGTAAGAGTATGGGATTTTCATGTTCTTCCTTCTTGTAATAGGTGCAGGACAAGTTCTCACTTCAGTGCAGAATAGCTGGATTAGATTAATTCCTCCGGGAAACGGGGAACTGGGATGGGAGTGGAGTGCATTCAGCTGTGGGTAATTGAACACTGAATGAAAAGTTAAGTGAAGTAAGGCCAATATACACCCTGTGCCCACTAGGAAATATCAGGCTTGGACATCTCCTCTGATTTGAGGCTAAATAAAATGGGAAATGCATGGCGCCTCAGAAAATACACCCTGACAGAAGATAAAAGGAACAAAATTGCATAATTCAGAAGAAAAGCATAACTTTGGAAATAATTTTAACAGGAACCCAAATACAGTTTTAGAAAACAAATCGCCATCAATACACTGCCTGTATGAAACCTGAGAGAGAAATCCGTAGAGGAATAAGGAAGACAATGTAGAAAACAAACCCAGACCAAACAAAACAGAAGCAGAATATATAAGAAACTGGACAACATAAGAATAGGCTTTAAGGAGAAAAATGTCAAGTAGATTGGATAGGGAATTTAAAAAAAAAAAAAAAAAAAGAAGCAAAAAGGATGAGAAGGGAAATATAGCAGAGAACTTCCCTAAGGAAATGTTATTTTGTATGTGTAAGTCTCGGGCTGTATCTGACATTATTTTCTGAAATTGAAAATTGTTATGTTTAGATAATATTCAGACAGTGAAAGACTATAGGTCTCACATCCTTGTAATCCAGGAATTATAATGATAACAAACATAAGTATAGAAATTACTCATATAATTAACTTCCTTGAACAAATATTTCACTGACTTTACTGGTTTTCTTCAGAAAATGTGTTGAATATATTTTTAGTTTTAGTACTTTGTCACCATGAAAGAGTTGTATTATTTAAGAAATAAGGAATTGAGGCGTCAAAAAAGGAAGGCGTCTCAGAGAGTAGCATTCTTGACCCAACTCTTCCATTAACATGGGACATTTCCTTGGGGAAGTCACTCCATTGTTAAAATACGTACTGGCTTTAGTGTAACACACTATGAGGATTTCTGGAAGGATACACCTTACGACTGGAGCCTCTGCCCCATTATCGTCTCTCCTGCCAGCTGAGCTCTCTGGGGTATTTTTTAAGTAACATTGAAGGAGATTATAATAGTAACAACAAATTCTCCAACACTGTTTTAATGACTAATATTACGGAAGCTTTACAAACAGAGCATTCCATTTACTTACAAAGACTTCTCTCGTGATGTCGTGAATAAGGACATGATGGGATATGGAAAATTTGACAGCGTAACTTTGAAAGGGTGAAGTTCTTTTAAGATCGTTTCAGAGATAATACACATATGTTTCCAAGGCAAGGGTAGCAACAAAGAATACATGTATATTTTCACCTGAAGGGAATGCAAACTTGTTACACATAGATACTTGCACTGGTCAGTTATGCTTTATAAAGTATTAAATTATACACAGATACTTTTTCTGTAGTCCCAGAAGCCTTTGTTGTTGTTAGTGGCATGGAGTCGATTCCCTCTCCCAGCGACCGTGTGTACAGCAGAGCAGAATCCTGCCTGGTCTTTCTGTGCCATCCTCTAACTTTCCCGTGCTGTATCAGACAATGCTCCACTGCTATTCATAGGGTTTTCATGGCCGATTTTTTGGAAGTGAGTGGTCAGGTCTTTCTTCCTGCTCTGTCTTAGTCTGGAAGCTTTACTGAAACCTGCCCACTGTGGGTGATCCTGGTATTTGAAATACCAGTGGCATAGCTTTCAGCATCAAAGCAACATGCAGCTGCCAGACTATCGCAACTGACAGACAGGAGGTGTGGTTCCCTGTCTGGGAAACAAACCAGGGCCACAGTAGTGAGAGCATGAAATCTTAACCACTGGACTGGACCAGGGTTGAAGCCAGAAGCCTGAAACATTGTAAATTGTTGGTGAAAAGACTTTTTCTTTTTTGAGGAAGATTAGCTCTGAGCTAACATCTGTTGCCAATCTTCCTCTTTTTGCTTGAAGAAGATTGTCATTGAGCTAATTATCTGTGCCAATCTCCCTCTATTTTTCGTTATGCAGGACACCACCACAGCATGGCTTGATGAGTGGTGTTTAGGTCCCCACCGAGGACCCGAACCCATGAACCCTGGGCCGCTGGAGCAAAGAGCCTTAGCTTAACCATTACGCCACTGGGCCAGCCCAAAAAAGATTACTTTTATTGCCAAATTTTACCATCTCCTTTCCTCATTATGGACTGACTTTTGAATAAACCATAGCTACAAATACACACACACACATTAGTAAATTGATTATAACTTATATTTCTCTTAATTTTTAAGAAGTATCCCAAATCTGGAGAAAGGAAAATATTTCAGCTCAAGGCTTTTATCATTTTGCCATTCACATTTCATATATAAAGTCAAATACTCCCATATCATACTAACCATGGTATTTTGATTGGAAGTAAAAAAAAAAATGTTAAAAAAACTTTTTAAGAAGTAAAACAATGAATAGACATGGTAACTGGAAGTAATGAAAAGCCCCTATGAAACTATTTGATAGCACATGACCTTAAGTGTTTTATGAGATATTTGCCAAACCATATCATTCAAACTTTTAGACACTCCACAGAAATATCTTAAGTACACCAGTGTTCTGGCAGAGATTGTGCAGTATTTGGCACAATTGTGAAGGGTAAAAAGAAATTACCTGGAGAACATATTAAAAATACCAATTCCTGGGCCAGCCCCAGTGGCCTAGGGGTTAAGTTCAACGTGCTTCTCTTTGGGGGCCTGGGTTTGGTTCCCTGGGCATGGACCTACGCCACTGGTCAGTGGCTATGCTGTGGCAGGAACTCACAAATGAAAGAGAGGAAGGTTGGCACAGATGTTAGCTCAGGGTGAATCTTCCTCCGCAAAAATGGAGAAGATGGGCAATAGATAATAGCTCAGGGCTAATCTTGCTTAGGAAAAAAAATAGACATACAAATTCCTCAGATCCTGTAGATACCTACTGAATTAGAAATTCTAGGGGATAGGCCTTGAAATATATATATTTAAGTAGCAATCTAGGTGATTCTTATCAGAGTAAGCAGCATCTAAAATTGGTGTTGGATTTGTATATGAAGAGCTGTAAAATACTGGCATGAGGTGTAGCTCTTAGGGTTGGTGAAGATTTCAAATAAGATAACAGATTTACTCGATAAACCTAACTTAAAATTAAGAAAAAATCACTAATAAAAGACAAATAGATTTTTTAAAAAGAGAGTATCCTTTCTTATCTATCTATCCTGTTGGCTACTTTTTAAAAGAGATAAATGAAAGTGAAAATAAAAACTTGTCACAATTTGTGAGACTCAGTGAAAGCAGTCTTTACAGGCAAATTTATAGGATTGAAATGCATATTTCAGAGAAGACCTAAAACCAGTAGTCTAAGTTTCTACCTTTGGCAACTGGAAAAAGAAGAATGAGTTATATCCAAAGTAAGAAGAAGAAAAGAAATAATAAAAACTAGGGCAGAAATCAATGGAATTGACAAAGGAAAACAATAGACAAAATCAGAAAATGGTTTTTTGAAAATACCAATAAAATTGATAAACCTTTAGCCACACCAACTGACTTTTAAGAAAAAGAAAAAGAAGACACAAGGCATTTAGCTTTGTTTTACTTTCTCAAGATTGTTGGGTTACTTGGGGTCCTTTGTGGTTCCATAGGAATTTCAGAATTATTTTCTACTTCTGAAAAGATATTATTGGGATTTTGATAAGGATTGCATTGAACCTGTAGATCACTTTGGGTAGTATGAACAATTTAACAATATTAACTCCTTCAATCCATAATAACACAGAATGTCTTTCCATTTGTGTCTTCTTTAATTTCTTTCATCAATGTTTTATAATTTTCACTGTACAAGTTTTTCACCTCTTTAGTTAAGTTTATTCCTGAGTATTTTATTATTTTTGATGCTGTAGTAAGTGGAATTATTTTCTTTAATGTCCATTTCATATAATTTGTTGTTAAGTGTATAGAAATATAAGTGATTTTTGACATTGACTTTGTTTCCTGCAACTTTACTAAATTCATTTGTTCTAACAGGTTTTTTTTTTTTTTTTTTTTTTTTTGGTAGAGTCTTTAGGGATTTCTGCATATAAGTCTATGTCATTTGCAAGCAGATATCATTTTACGTCTTCCTTCTATACTTGGATGCCTTTTATTTCTTTTTGTTGCTTCATCGCTCTGACTAGACTTCCAGTACTATATTGAATAGAAGTGGTGAGAGTGGGCATCCTTGCCTTGTTCCCAATTTAGAGGTAAAGCTTTTAGTTTTTTACTATTGAATATGATGTTAGCTGTGGGCTTGTCATGTATAGCCTTTATTATACTGAAGTAATGTCCTTCTATTACTAGTTTGTTGAGAGTTTTTCTCAGCCACTTTGGAAAAGAGTTTGGCAGTTTCTTACCAAGCTAAACATAATCTGATCCAGCAGTCATGCTCCTGGGTATTTACACAAATGAGCTGAAAACTTATGTCTGCACAAAAGTGGGCACATGAATGTTTATAGAAGCTTTATTCACAATTGCCAAAACTTGGTTGAAAGACAACAAAGATATCCTTCAATAGGTGAATGGATAAACACACCGTGGTACATACCTACAATGGAATATTATTCATTGATTAAAAAGAAATGGTTTCCATCTGTCACCATATATATGTGCCCCTTTAGCCCTCTCCCCATCCCCTTTCCCTTTGGTAACTACCAATCTCCTTATCTATGTGTTTTTCTGTTCATTTATCTTCCACATAGAATGAAATCATATGAGTATTTGTCTTTCTCTGTCTGACTTATTTTGCTTAGCATAATACCCTAAAGGTCCATCCATGTTTCTGCAAATGGCACAGTTTTGTTTTTTTTTGTGGCTGAGTGGTGAACACAATGCAGTCTACACAGAAGCCAAAATATAATAATGCGCACTTGAAATTTACACAGTGTTATAAACCAGTGTGACCTCAGTGAAATAATAAAAAGTGGTTGAATTTTTAAAATTAATAATAAATATGTAAATCTTGTAAAAAATTCTTTGAGAGCAAAAATCTAGTTGACATGAAGAAAATTAAAATAAACTAGAAATCAACAAAAAAAAAAAAAGAAAGAAAGAAAGGAAATGGGCTATCAAGCCAGGGAAAAATAGGGAGGAACCTTAAATGCGTATTACTAAGTGAAACAAGCCAATGTGAAATGGGTACATACTATATGATTCCAACAAGATAACATTATGGAAAAGGCAAAACTATACAGACAGGAAAAAAACAATGGTTTCTAGAGCTCCAGAGTGGAGGAAGGGTTGGAGGAGGCAGGAATAGGTGGAGCACAGGGGATGTTTAGAGCAGTGGAACTATAAAATAGTAATATGATGATGTTATAGTGGCTACATGACATTACGCATGGGCCAAAATCTTTGGAACTGTGCAATACAAAGAATGGACCCTAATGTAAACTATAGTCTTTAGATAGCAATAACGTATCAATATTAGTTCATCAATTGTAACAAACATACACAGGAATGAAAGACATTAATAATAGGGAAATTGTTTGGGAAGGT